TTGTCTAGGCATCATGGAGTTTGCTAGCATCATAGATACTGATGCTAGCAAAGATATCTATGCTGCTAGGTCGGTCAGGTCCGTGGTCATTAACGCGGGGTCCGTACTTTAGTCTTCTCGGGTCCCTTGGTCGGGTCCATAAATTAGTTTGCATCGGGTCCGTCGCTCGGTCCGTAAATTAGTCTTTTCGGGTCCGTTGGTCCGGTCCGGTCCGCTTTCTAGGGACAACCCACTAGAGTGGTTTTTAATTAATGCGCATTAATGCGCATCACCCTCGCTTCACCTCCAGAGGTGGATTGATGTGAAGTGATGCGCTTCGATCAATGTAAACCAATGGCAACAAGAACACAAAATGATACATAATTCAGCTGCTAGTGTGAACACGATCAATGCGCATTATTTCAGCTGTATCAACAAAGCGCATCAAAGCGCTTTGAAAACTGTGCCAGTGTGAAAAGGCCTTTAGTTAGTTGTTGACCACACCCATAGCTTATTTTAATTATTATTATAACTATGCAGTCCATAATAATAATTTTTTTCAAATTGCTTAAAATACAGTACAAGTAATACATATCACTCAAGTGAATTCCAGCAGGCGAGTCCATTGCACCATAGTGCTTCATGTTCTTTTATTATTTCCGTAGGCAATGGTAATATGTAGAAAAGTTAAAAGGAATAACACATGAGGATGCTGAATATTTTTATAAAAAATAAATTGCAACTATCCTACCATGAAGTTAATATATTGTCTTATTGAAACATTGAATCTGCTTATAGATCTATAACTGTTATATGATACTATAATGTACTTGAATATGTACAAAAATTAATAATAATTATTGACATAGTGATTATAGCCAGCCTACTGGCAAGCCATGATTGAAACTGGAAACTAAATAATAATGATGCTTGTTAAGGACTCAAATAGAGCTTATATGTACTTTCAAATGTGCTCCTAATGCATAGATATCATTCTTGCAGACAAATCCATAAACTTTGGGTGTTGATCCGTACTTCGATACAGATCCGCAAGCGTTCCGCGTTGATCCGCATTTCAGCCTGATCCGCATTTGATCCACGTGGATCCGCATTTCAGGCTTGCCCAGGAACTGGTACTGTTGATTGCAGTTCCGTTCGAACGGAGCGTATGCGTGGAGATCACGTGATCCTAATAAACACATTCACGGAAACCATACTCACGCCGCACGCTCCATTCGAACGGAACTGCAATCAACAGTACATTGTACATGCACATATATGATGGGGTGCGTCTTATTTTTATAGTGTCAGAATTTAATTGGTGAGTATCATAAAGATGACCCAAGCTACTTTAGATTTGCTGACAACATGTCACTTTATCCTCAGGTATATCCTACCATGCTTACTGTATTGTGTATGTACACTTTCTTCTTAATACTCATTTATCATGGAGAGGTACATTTAACTGTATTATTTTAATTAGTTACATATAGCTGGAAGAAGGCCGGCTATCAAGATTCACCCAATCATGAAAACTTCCGTCAATTACATCAAGCACCAGTTGAAGATGCTCAGGTATGTGTAAATAAATGTAGGTTTGTGTGCTATCATTGTAATACTGATTGGTGGTTTACTTGATTGTACTACAGTACATGTTTAAAACTTAGCATTGGTTACATAGTGATTTGTATGTAGGATATTCTACAGAACAGGTTCCCTATGCCACAGTATGTGGTAACTGAGCATATGGGCAGTCAGGCTAGGTTTCTCCTCTCTAAAGTAAACCCATCACAGACTCATAACAACATGTATGGCTGGGGTCAGGTATGTTGTTTACTCTGTGCTTGAGTATGTTACATGTTACATTTAGGATGGAAGTGGTGCTGCTCCTGTTTTAACTGATGGTGTTAGTTTACAAGTTTTTATGGAACATTTGAAAAAGCTAGCCATGTCTAGCTCAGCTTGATACCATTCCCTCGTGCTTGATTAGTACTGGCTCTCGTTGTTTTTGACCATAATATTTCAATTATTTTATTAATTATACTTTGTATGGTAATTTTGTTGTGCCTGACTGATTAAATGTGAGACTAATAATTTCAGTTGTCAATAGACCATTAGGTCTTTCTACCATGATCAACGTGCATTTAAATACTCTTTCCTAAGATCTAATTTTTTGATGACAGCACCATATGTTGGAATAATCCCTCTTTTAGTTGTATAAAAACTTTCAGTTTAAAAAAGATATTAATGAAATGGATATGTCTACTATCTAGACATATGCAAAATGGCAGTACTATTTAGACATCTGTAAAGCTAATATAACTAAATAGTGAAATGTTTTCAGTTTACTCAAAAATCAGAGCCAGCTTCTTCTGGTTCAACTTCTCCAACTGCTCAATGTAGTCACTCAGACTATGACCTGCAGCTTTTGGCAAGTAGAATTCCTCCATTGGTTTGTACAGAGCAGCCCACGGGCCTATGGTCACAAGTGTTCCAGTAGAAACTGGGTCTCCTTGAATAGTAAT